TAAATATCATCAATATCCATATCAGTAAATAACATGTCTCAGAAAAGTAAGTGGCAAAAATAAATTTTATCCAGGTTAAATAATGCAATAAATTATAGCCAACAAGGCTACATGGCTTAAGGTAATATGATTTACCTAAAACCTAAGCCCTAGTAAAACTGTCAAGTCGTGTTTCGAGTATAGTGGGCTACTTCTTTGCCGATTAAAGAAAAAGCAAAAAAATTAAATAAAAACAGTATACGAATTGTTTATTTTATTTCAATTTTGAGTATTTCTTATAATTTGGTGGCAACATGTAGAGTGAGGGTAGTATGAATTATTTATAGTGAACAAATTGAGACTGAGTGCCGGATGTTGCACGTGATTATATTAACCTCAGATACAGAGCGCAAACAAACATTCTTGATACTTTAGCAGTACTATGATGAAAATAATGGAGTTTTTCACAGTCAATGGTCGTGGATTCTATGCATATAATGGCATATTTGTAGGAATTAATACTAGATCTTTATAAATCATTGCGTTAGACCAGGTAGTTTAAAATTAAAGTATTCGCTTTCTTGATAAGGAACTAATAGTGTTCTTTGACGTGGTGATGTATCACGTCACCTCAATATACAGATCAGATTATAAAGCCTAAACTAACAAGCTTCGAACGAGCGCGTTTCGAGGCTTTGAAGTCGGTCCACACTACACGAATTTGTGTTCGGCTCGTCATAGACAAGTGTCAAGATTATAGAGTCCTTGTACACACACTTGACAGAGATTTTGTTTATCACAGTTTTGAATAAAAAATAAAGATTCATTACTGTTGCTTTACGTAAGTACAGTCATTTCTTTTCTTAGCTTTGTGATAGACGAAACGCTTGCTTAAGAAATGGCGAAACTTAAAAATAATATCGCGTCTCAAAAATAAACAAATTACATAAATTTAAGCATAAGAAAGTATGAGAAGCACCTTGTTGTAAGTATCGTTGTTAATCGGTTCACGTTAGAGAAGGATTCATGTAGATACCAGTCTGAGAGCTTTTGTTACGCGATCTAGAATCAGTACTTCGTTTTTTTTTATTTAAGTCGCTCGCTCGAGTCAGCGGGAGGGGGAATTAGGCTACAGTAACCTCACTCACTCAGCATCGAAAGAATTGCTTTACACCGGTTTTCTGTGAGGCCGTGGTATCACTCCGGCTCGAATTAGCTAAGTTTATATTTGACAGTAGGGGTGTTATGGAGCTCCTTAACCGTACCGGATATTCGAAATAAAAATCGACATAAAAGTTTTAAATAATTACAGATAAGACGATGCAACGTCATGACAGGTTTTTGTTTTTAATGGACCCGGCATACTAGCCGCGCGCGTCCCCTATATTTCTACTGCTTATTCGTAATTCATTTGTCATTCTGGAAGTACTTAGATAAAGTTTGAAGTTCTTATTTAGGTCAAATGCGTCATGAGGCTAGTTTTATTTGGACTGTATTTTTGTCTTTCTTTTATAATTCCCAAAAGTTTTAATATCCGTTACCGAAACTATCCGAAAGTAGTGGATAATCTGAAATAATTTCATATCCGAAACTGGTATAATGGTATTCCTATATATCCGTATCCAGATCCGAAATATTACGAGTATGTCCATAACATCTCTGTTCCATAGATGACAGTTTCCCCCGGTTTGGCCCCCGGGATTACCCGGGAATTACCGACATTCACTTTCTACCCGGTACCGGTACTGGGAATCATTACCGTGACTTTCGGGATTTCATAGTTATGAATGTGAATTGTTCAAAATGTTCTTGTATTTCCACTTTCTTTTTTTATGTATGTTATAGGTTATTGATGTTAAGCTCATTGTTACTCTTCAAGACTGTGGCATTATAATCTGTACATGTCCCTATATAAAATCCTGAATCGATTGAGCTCAAATTTTGACATGATTTTTGACCTGCTTTAACAGATTTGACCCGCTTTAAAGATTGTTTTTACCGATTTATCGCGTCAGTTTTGTTCTTCTTTTTTCATTACATTAAACCATAATGTGCCACGGCGAAACGTGGCAAGGTACATCTGGTGAGACTGTTGTTAGTGACCCTGACTGCTACGCCAGAGGTTGTGGGTTCGATTCCCACCCAGGACAAATAATTGTGCGATGAGCACGGTCATTTGTTCTGTGTCTGGGTGTACTTTATCGACAATATGTATGTATTTAGAAATATAAGTATATTTATCAGCAGTCTGGTTACCATAGTACAGGCTCTGGCTAGTTTATGATCAGACGGCCGTGTGTGAAAATTGTGAAAATATTATATCAAATATTAATGTATGAGATTGAATGGTTTTTTTTTCTCGTTTTTGTTTGTGTCAGTTCGAATTATTTAAATAATTTACCACAACCTAATGTTAATTGTGTATCACGCTTTTGATATTTAAAAAATATAAAAATCCAACATTTATGCAGGAACGTAAATTATTGCTTACCATTTTACAGGGTGGATATACACCATCAGTTCGCTTCGCTAAATGGTGCTTTCATACAAAAAGTGCACGAGTCATAAAAACACCCAAATCACTGTATCTGTAGGTACCTGTAAGAAATATGATGACAAAGTGGCCAAATGTATATCATCTCAAACAAAAAAACAATACATTTCCAAAGCAGTCTAACATCTAGAAATCGTCCTTTATCTGATCTGAAATATATGAAACAGACACTTCTAAAATATCTTGTTATTTCTTAATGTTAATTGCAATTCTTTTTAGGTCATCAAACTATAAGAAAGATTAAGTTACCAATAGATTAGCGGGAAAATTATTGGTTTAAACTGCACTGTTTTTACATTTTTCTTTATTATAAGATCATCACCACGCTTTCCTACCGGCTGTCTGTCTTTAACCACTTTAGAAATGTACAAGAATCGTTTATGAAAATAAAAGCCATTGTTTTTATAAGCTCGTAAAAAATGTTTTCGTAATACGTGTCGTTTCGTATTCGTAGTACGTTTGTCGGTAAAAGTGAAAATAAAAAGTAGAAGAATGTTTGAATTTACTTTTACATTAGTGGTATTGTCGCACACTACTTGTTAATTTAAAGAAAACTATTAGTTAAAATTAAAATAGTTAGATAAATATATTTCGTACTTAAACTATTAATTAATTAAATATCTAATAGAGATCACGACGGCATTAGAGATCACGACTGATTCCATCAGAGCGTCATTTCTGCTATTTTAATATTGTATCAATAAACTGTCGTCGGAATAGTTTTGCAATTTTCGTATTTCACTAACTATGTAAGACAAATGGCCTCGCGATAACTTGTCACTGATACAAATATCGTCGATATCTTTGTAATAGTTTGGTAAAAGGTACATTTTAAATTTGTACGGAAATTATTCATTAAATTTTCCAGATATGGCAATGTTGTTGATATCACCATTGATGAGCCATTGTTAGTACATCGACAGTCTATTGACACTGAATTTATGTTAGTAGAATACCGATATTTTAACAGATGTCAATGGCATCTCAATCTCAATAGCGTGTCAATGGAATGACAGAGGCTTATACGTTAACATGAAATAGCGGATTTGAGGCCCTGTTTGACAGTTACCAATGCAATTTTAAAGTAGTGAAATTTCTGAAATACATTTTCACTTTTATGTGCGAGTGTTTACTGTATTATATTTACTTATTACATACATAAGTACATTTGATTCATCATGATAAGGTTTTCTTGAAACCCTTTTATTTTTAACGTATAGCAATAATACTTTAAAACAAAGAGAAATAAAAACGTTTCATAAATATTAATAGTTTATTATTTTAAAATACCTAAATAAAATGCACATCAAATATCAAAATCGCACCCCTGAGGGTTGGAATTATTTTCAATAAAACACTGTAGGTATATTAACAATAAAATTATTACTATTAATAATTTTAATTCAGAAATGCGTATAATCCTATTTCCGTAAATCTGTATGCGCAGGGCATTAGCCTATATAAATATTGGACCGTTGTGACGTCAGCGTTCACATTCAGCAAAACCATCTCAGTGTGCTACCTAAGTTTTTTATTTTAATATTGGCCACGTTGGTATTTCATTACTTTTTTGTTGTTTATGGTAAACAGGGCCAACGAGCTAACTACCGTCGCCCAGGGACACCTGCAGCTCAAAAGCCGGAGACGCCGTGGTATCAAAACTCCGGTCGGCCATTTTTTGTTACGAATATGGCTCTCCCACGGTACTACCATCTTGCAAATATAATTATATTTTTGAACAAAGCAGGATCCATATACATACATACTATTAACATACACACAAGCTTCTACACGCTGAAGAGACAAGTAGAGGCATTTAAACACACCACAGTTATATTTTTAATACATTTAAGTAAACTTTTGCGTCTACAAGAAAATCTAACTTATTACTATAAAATTCTAACGAAACATGTCTAGTATAGTAGTATAATTATAGGTATATATAAAATAAGCGTGAGACGCTTGGATATCTTTTTCTTTAAATTGACAACAAAAGATTCTGAATGAATACAATTTCTTTAAAACACCCTAATGTTTCTAGAAGATCAAGGTCAGCAGTAGCGAAAACCAATAAAACAAGTAATGGCGAAACAGAAAAGAATGGAGTTGATGGAAATTAGGAATTAGAAATATATCGAGAGCGAGTCTCTCCACCTGAGATTTTCCATTTGCTGGTGGTCAGCTGACCCGTATTCGGACTGCACAATAGATTGTGGCTGAACCTATTTATCACGTCTTACTCTGATCAATCTCCCGCTACTGTTTAGTCACTACAAAAAATTAAAGTTCCCCTTACCCGGAATCGAACCCAAGCCGTCAAGATTAGTCTACTTATTAGCCTAAATATTTTAAATACATATCATATCCAGGGTTGATTTCAAATGGTGCAGTTATGTCAGATGGATCGAATTGCTCACATTCTAAAAGAACTTCAAATAAAATAATCTTGGAAAAAACTTACTGAGATATGAATAAAGAAGTTGTTAAAACGACGGGGGCGTTAGCCACGGGGCGAACGTAAATGAATTATCTTTAAACACAGTGGACGTGATTCCGCTACCATCAAAGACAGAGGTACTAAAAGTTTCGCATGGTTTTAACTGAAATTGCGAATTGACGATGTGCGTTTCTGCACCCTTAAATATAATACACAAGCTTTTGCTAGCGGCTCCGCGTAAATGTCGGTTGTCGCGGTAAATCCTCAAAAATCAAGGTATCTAGATACCAAATTTCATGTGAATCGGTTCAACTTTTATTGTTTCCCCATATAAACTTCCACCTAAAGGCTGATCTGAACTACCCACATAGGGTAAAACTACCCACATAGGGTAGTTTTTATCCCAGAAATCAGTCTTGCCAGCCGGGGCTCGGACTATCTCTATACCAAATTTCATGTAAAACGGTTCAGCGATTTAAGCGTGAATAGGTAACAGACAGACAGACAGACACACTTCCGCATTTATAATATTAGTATGGACCGCGTATAAAAATTCTTGTGCTATTGTACTATTTGTAACTCCTAACTTAACTGAATATTCTAAGTTAAAATCTAAGGATATTGACATTTTGATAAAACTTTATGTTCTGTATGGATGTTCAATTTGGCTACAAAACCGACGGATGAACTACGTTAATGTGTGGTAATTTTTATTTTTTTAAATGTTTTAAATTTTTAAGAAATAAACAAAAACAACTATAAATGACGACTAAGTTTTGCATAATAATACATGAGGTTTATACTTACTTGACCGTTTGACTTAGGGACATGCGATATTTTATCTCGGAAGAATTTCCATTGGTTTATGAATCAAAATTCTCTTAAAATATTATTCTCGCTTATTGCAGAAAACTTGTTTATTTTTATTATTTTGTGTCCGTTTTAGAAACAGAAGTAGTTAGTAGTTAATTGATTCATTAAAACACAAGTCTCTATTGGATTTATTTAATTTCCAGCTCCAACAATACACTTTATTATTAAATATTTAACTAACTTTCTTACTGTCTTATAGAAACATGGAGCTATCAGGTTGTTACAGGAATATTTCCTATCTTTATTTTAAATGTTACATAGCTTTGCTGAATTTGTTTTCTTTTCAGAGAAAGCGAAATTTCCATCCCTTGTAAAACTTTGAGTACCATTGTCTGCTCCGGTGTCGGGGCCTATATAAACTGATGCTACAGATCAGCTAGCACCATTCGGCGAGCAACAGGTGGACGAGGTAAGTGAAGACTCCTTACACACTATCACTATTTTAATACCTTATGATATCATTCTATGATCTCAGTTGGTTTAAAAATTTTAGAAATTATTATTTTTTGGCAGTTACTATGTCTTACGCACTTTTTTATAATGTGAGAAAATGCCCTTTTTGAGAAATATATTTACAATTTAGTTTGTTTTTATGCATTTAAAAATATATAAAAACATGTCAAGTGAAATTCTTCTGAAATTTCAGAAATTTCTTCTGAAACTTAAGCATAATGCTTTGAAACTCATCCAAGTTCCAGTGTGTGTAGTAATTTTTTTCTCTCCAAGACCTGACTTGTTTGCAAACAGTTTAAACTTTTTAAAAGATCCAGAGCTTTTATGATTGATATTTTTAATGTCATAAGACCTACGGATTTAAAATTATGTGATCTTTTTTTTTATTATATTAACCAAAAATATAGGATTAATTTATAACGTGAATATTACTTTTAACTTGTGAATATTAAAATCAAGATTAATATAAAACTTGGATGAACTTAAGTTTTTTTCACAACTTTCCAAAATATAAAGAACGACTTGTATCTCCAGACAAGATCACTTAGAAACTTTATAGATTTTTAGTTAAATTTTCTTAACAATATTTTGTTATAGGTAGTATAAAAATTGTCATTGGTTTTACATAGTTGCAAACTAGCAACTAATAGTTTCATTTTGATCCATTAACCCATAAACATAAATTTTAGTTATAGTAGAATGTAACATTCATTAAGCATTTTTATGTGAGACTATGCCGTGGAAGTAAATTAAATCTAGACGATAAAAAAAAAGTACCATAAATACATTGCCTTTTTTTGTGTTTACAATAAAAACTTAGGTTGAGTGTAAGTTTTTAGTATTAACGATTCAGTAACGATAAGTGTGTTTAAAGAATTTACAATGTTTAATAAAAAAGAAAACAGAACAAGGTCTTGGTTACATTTTGTATATGATTTACATCTTATTGTCATTAGATTCTTATATAAAGCTTTAAAGCTAACTTAAAACAAAATTGATTGAGTTGAGATATAAAATTATAATAATTATGAATTCCTTATTATTGATTATTAAATTAATTAAAATTCGGTGCTTTTTTTTAATAAGGATATATAGTATTCTCTATTGGTAACGCTAAAAGTAATTAAAATTTTGCTAAAGAATTTTGTAGAATTCAACACATAAAAAGTTGTGTTAATAAGACATGCATTGGTTGAATCATAATTAAAAAAGCATGCGTTCGCATTTTATCGTCAGATGAAAAAATGTTATTCCTATTACCTATCCGAAAATATTTTTTTTCATTCAGATTCATAGTAATAGAAATAATAATACCATATGCAATTATTTGATTTCTCTTTGCAACTATGTTCTTACTGGTACCTGTAGTCTACAAGTATCTATGTCAAATGTCTTTTGCGGTTGAAAGCATATATTATTTAAAAAGAAAAGGATTTTTTTTATCCTACGTTTTTAAATTCAAATTGTGAAACGTGTAAAAACTTAAAAAAACAAAGAGATAATGGGTATACTCGTACATTTTTTCAAATCGATTTGTTTAGACAGTACAATAGAATTGGCAATTTATACAATTTTATGCAAATTTCAAGCTGTTGGATGATTGAAAACCGTGAAAAATAAGAAATCGACTTTTTATATACTCGAATGAAACCATTTTTCTACAAACGTGTATAAATGTGTCCGATTCCATGTATTTTTGTAAAGTCCCCCGCGGCACAGACATATTCCTTAGTTATCTTTAAAAGAGAAAAAAAGCAATAGAACTCATAACCCGGTGACCGGCTGATCAGTAACTCTTCATGCCACCACCAAGCTTTTATAAAGATCGTTTACTGGCACCCCGTAGGGCCTCTGATTATGTGTTGTTGGCCATGCCTATTCCCAAATAGAGATGGTTTACTGAGTTTCTGTCCACACGAGCCTAAAAGAATTACAGTCAAAACCAGTACGTTGGCAGCTCGAAAGTCTGTGCCAAAATGTGTACACAAACTCTGAATATATCCAAAAACAGCGAATCCATTCGTTTAGGGGCTTGAAGGGTTTCTGACATTCCAGAATACGGGGATAGTATAAATTAATGAATTGGTTGAAATAACATCGTTACCCATGGTCCGCCACGTGGCGCTTTATTTGCGGAACCTCACACTGCGTAATATATTTATTACAAGGTTACAATGATTATGCAAATATTTTTCATTTGCAGTTCTTACACTTAAATGCCTTTACAGGGAAAACTTGGTATGGAAATGCGGGATAAGGAAAAAGCTAAGCTAAAATTAAAAAAACCGGTTGTTTTAATTCCTATGAGAATTAAAACCACCGGTTTGTATTTTTTTTTGAAAAAATAATAATATATATTTTAATATTTGTAATATTATATGTATATTCACATACTCAGTGTCACTCTCACAATTAAGACGAATCTTACGACACTTCAAATGCTAAAGTCCGACAAGCCGTTTAGGATACAGAGCGTGCCAACAAAATATACATACATTCACTAGAAAAGCATAACCCTCCTTTTGGTGCAGTTAGGTAATAAGATATTAAATAGGGGTTATCGCTGGGAGCTTCACTTAAGTTCTTTATATCTATTTTATGTAAAGGCTAAGTCGAAGTCTATTAAAGTAATTAATTTTGCACAAACGCACCATGTACAGTACACAGTAAACCAAGCCTTTTCTTTTTTAACAGGTAAACAATGTTGCAAGATATTAAAATCATATTTCAAGAAGGCTTTTCTGATGATGTTAAGCTTAATATGTTTCAATTCGTGGATAGCCTTTCAAGTCGTATTTTTTTTAAATGTATTTGCTTTCTATAGATATTAGATAACATTTCGTAAGAGCTTGTACCCCATCGGTCTTAAGGGCTATAGGGGTCTGCAACATTAATAAAATGTTAATTTAATAGTAGATTTTACAGTGTAGAAACTTTCCCTATGTATGATTTATATAGGTAAACAAAAAAGGACAGAAGCTTTTAAATTTGGAAGCAGAACTGCACCTCTTTGTATTATCACTCGACAAAATCCCATTGTTTTTTTAAGTTGGTATTTAATACAGTTATAGTCCGTTGTCATCACTTTTATTCGTTAAAACAAGTATTAGGCATACCTCTAGTTTGTAAATAAACCTAGATATTTTATAAGTGTGTAACTGAATGCAACTCGAAGATTATTATATGAATTTGTGATTCGTGGTTTTATGTTAAACCACGAATACACGAGTACATATACGTGAGTTATTTACTTGTGATGTGTTATTTCTTTAATAAGTGGTGTGAAACCGTTCATATAAGTTATGGAGTACGTCTGATTAAAACATCTTGGGCTTAAGAAAATATTAGTTCCGATAATATGAACACAAGTACGTGTAATACATTTGAAATTGCATTGGACTTTGATAACCAAATAATAATCCAGGTACCTATAACTAACTTAATTTGTATAGTTCAGGTCTTAAATTTTATTTTTATCAATGTAGTAAACGTGTCACACAGTTGCACATGAAAGCTTTCTGAGCCGTACCACTGCCTACCTACGAGTACCATGTAAAATAAATCAAAAGTTTTCAGTGACAATCTTTATTGGTTGCATAGATGCATATATACATGCAGTCAAACTAAATTATTTCCAAAAAGTAGATTCTTAATATTTTAATGTCATTTTTACTATGCTGAGTCTATCTTAGCTATATATTAGTTGGTAAGGAGAATTTTTGTAAACATTTTTCAAGAAAACGCGCATATACGGGGATGTGCGATTTGGAATACATACTGTCTAAATTTAAAAGAAATGCAAGTAGCTAATTTTTCTAAACAATTAAAAATTATATAGGAATTGTTAAACAAAGATAGAGTTCATATACCTATGTATTTTGAACTATCATGGTACAAAAGTTTGTACAATGATAGCTCAACTTATGCTGGGCTTTAAAATAAATAAAAACTGGTCAGGTACGAGTCGAGTTCCGTACATACCCAGATTTTACGTAGATTTTGGCGAAAATTTGTAAGTACCAAAATTTATCTTTATTTTCAACTTTTTTATTTTTTGAAATTATTCCTTTATTTGTTCTGTAAGACGTTTCCTTTTGCCAAATTTCGTTTGCCGTTAACTGGAACAACCATAAAGGTTATCGACCCAAAACCTATAGAGTACTTCCGGTTGACCTAGAATTATCAATTTCGGCTAAAAGCAAGGTCTTACAGCACAAGTAAAGAGAAAATTCTGAAAAATAAAAAAAAAGTTGAAAATTAGGGTAAATTTTAGTATTTACAAATTTTCGCGAAAATCGAAATCTGCCCATATCTTTTTTATTTTGTTGTCTCAGGATCTTGAGTTTTATACACCTAATAGGGACCATAGACCTCAGTATCTGGTATAAGTTTCAACTTGCTAGGTCTACCCACTCCTGAGAAAATCTTTGGTTCACACGGACAGACGCACAAGCAGACAGACGGACAGACAGACAGACGGACATGAAAGTGATCTTATAAGGGTTTCTTTTTTACCTTTTGAGGTACGGAACCCTAAAAAGACATTAAAAAAGGTCAGTCATGCAACATCTGCTTAAAATGTTGATGTTCATTAAAGAAAACACTTTTTCACTTCGCTTTACAAAAATCTATTTAAGTATGTTTATCATTGCAATCTATATCCATGATAGGAGGTATGCTTAAACCATGATACTTTTTGGGTGGAAACCTCAACACTTCAACTGGGCTAAACGACACGCTTCTCAAACCGATAGCTATTGCAAGGTTGAGACGCTGTTGCACACCATCCACTAAGGTGCCGAGCGCATTGTCCTCGCGACACCCTCAACAGTGGTGAGTCGTTGGTGTATATGCCTCTACGGCACAGGTATTCACAGAACTGGCCGTGTCCGGTGATGCTTAAATTAGGTCTATATAGTGCCGAATGACATTGTTCACAATGTTTTCATTCGGATTTGTTAATACTGTTCTTCAAATCGACTATTAAGACCCTGAAAAGTACAATTTAATCGATTTTAATAAAAGTTTCAACATCAATAGATATGTTTACCATGGTAATTATATCTACCAGAACACATGGTAAACATATCTATCGATGTGAATAAATAGTATAGCACATGCTTAGAATCATATCAAAGGTTATTAAAATCTGTAACACAGAACAGACTACTAACTTCTTATTGGGTAATATAAATTAACGAACATTACGTGGGCACATTACATCGAAATGTGAGTAACAAGAGGCGAAAGTAATATATAAAGATCAAAGATAAATCCGATGATGAATGTTTAATAGGTGAGATTAAGATCGCGGATAATCCGTATCGCTCTCTACTTCTTGTTAATACCATGTTCCACCGATTTAAGCTTTCAGTAAATAATCTTTACCAAAACAAATATGTTGAAAAGCAATTTTGTTTATCTATTATTTACTTTGAGATGTTATTTAACAGTGGTGTCTGGAGCAAGACTAGTTTAAGTAGTAAGTAGTGTGAGTTTAAGAACACGGATAAATTTACTTAGATCCCGAAACAAAAATGGATAATTTGAATTAAAGTTTTTTTTTTGTAATTAATTCATTTTGTTGTAACTAAGTGGTAATTCAGGCTTTCACTGCACGTTTCACCTAAGAGGTGCATCATCCATCCGACTTGTAAAAATATCTGAAAAGATTTACTTACAGAAATAAATATCATTTCATTTCATCATTTTCCAAGTCTGTTTTGAAATATATAGGGTTACTGGGTAAGTCGACCAAGATACTTTAAGATACTTTAAGATTGTAGTTGCTATCATTTCTGATAGGTTTCACTATGAAATTCCATATGCAAGACCAACATTTTGAAGATATTGAACTTTTAAGGATTTTTATAAAATTTGCCGAAATTTCGTCAAATACAATTTTTTTAGAACTTATATCCTTTATTTTATACTTTTTTTTACTGTTTTTGTATACTTGATAAATTGTGTTATAATTTTAAGTATTAAAATTATAACACAATTTAACAAACTGGGCCAGAGCAGATAGTTAATAATACCAAAAAAAAATGAATTTGTAAAAAAATAATTATTTGACGAATAAGTTTTAAAAATATCGTTAATAGTCTAGGATCGTATCAGAATTCATAGAAAAAAAACTTAGATGATTGATAATTGATATTTTTTATAAAAATCTTGAAAGTCTAATATCTTGAAAATGGTTAAGTTTGGCATATGGTATTTCATAGTGAAATCTATCAGAAATCATACCAACTACAATCCCTTAAAGTATCTAGGTCGATTTACCCAGTAATGTAACATTTTTAGCTACTTTGAAACATTTTCGATTATATTTCCATACATCATAAGATATGGGGTACAATATAGGGAAAAATAAATGGGATTGAGGCTGTCCAGGGTAAACAAGAACATCAACGGCCTAAATGAATTGCTATTGAATTGTCCCCAAAGTTCATTCATTTTTGTAAAACAATATTATGTGTATAATATAGCTATACGACGTATATACATGAATCTTTATAGTCATCGTCTAATTTAGATAGTCTATAATTAAATAAGTTTTTTTTGTTGTAGGAAAGATGCAGTCCACAATGAGGATCGTAATCTCAGTGTTTCTCTTCACATCAGTGATCGCCAGCACCTACCGTAAGTACTTCTTGAATGCCTATAAATATAAAAAAAAATATGCGTCTGTCTTTTTATCCTCGAAACACAAGTTCTTGCATAACTTAAAGTACGAAATTAGACAGGCGTACTACTATCATCGATTTCATGTACACATTTACCGCCGGTCTTGAAGAGGGTTAGAATTAATATTAATAGACATTTACGGGTTATTAAGCACTGGCCGTAGGTGATTTGTGAAAGATCAGTGTCTATAACATATACAAAGGCTCTTAATACTTGCGTTTCGACAGCTTTCATCTACCTAAGACAATATATGTAAGATAGAAGCTTACACATATCATCTTAGGTTACATTATTAAATTGTAAAACGTACAAACTTATTATATGGAAATATGATACTATTATTATGATTTTAAAGAAAATTTAATTTTCTTTCTAATTGTGCTTTTCATTTAAATTTAGTTTTCGATTCCTTTTCCAATCGATTTTAAATAAGTTTTACATTTAATTTTGGTTTATACTGATCGGTTAAGAAAGATACCGTTGCGTTTCAGAATAATTTTGATAACTTAGAAATTGTGTATACCGATTGTACGCTTTATGTTATACAATGTTTCTAGAGAATTTGAAACTCAAAGTAGGTATACATATATTGTCTTACTTTTCAGGCATTTTAAAATTGTTTTATTTAAAGATTATAAATTGAGTTAAAATATAAAAATATACGTACGTGTTTAATAAGAAAAATCAAACATTTTATTAATCTCCAAATTCATAAGATTAAAGTTTAAGTCGTATTTTTTAACTATTGGTTCCTATTCCTACTAATATTATAAATGCGAAAGTAACTCTATCTGTTACGCTTTCACGATTACAAATAAACCGATGAACTAACTGAAATGAAATTTGCCATGGAGATACTTTGATTGCCGAGGAAGGACTTAGGCTACCTTTTACCGCGATAACCAAAACACATTTATTTATTTAATTATGATTACCAATATTTGAATCCACTCTGACAACACACATGAAACACAGAACATAAACCAGTAATCTAAATAATTACAGGTAAATACAAGATAAACAAAATACCTATAACACAGCTTAAAGACAAAAAACACCTAATTACATATTATTATTGTCACCAAACGTTTTACACTAAAATAAAGTAAAAAAATGATAATATACAAACGAGTGAAACCGCGGGAAAAAGCTGATTGTTCATAATTTTGTCAAATAATTCAGTCAGGCGTTCTTCAGTGGGGTCTGGTTTAGAGAGACATATAATTCTCCATTATCTAAGATCGTATTCTGTATAAAATCATCTCAAGTGGAACTAATACACGGTCATAAGCCGCCCTATGTGAATGATCTTTGAAGGAACTTGTTGCGAAATATAACGAGAATATGGGGAAAAATATTTTTAAGTCTATAACACCAGCTGTCACTTTGTAAAAAATATTGTTTTTAACCGACTTCAAAAAGGAGGAGGTTCTCAATTCGATTGTTTTTTTTTATGTATGTACACCGATTACTCTGAGATTTATGATCCGATTTACGTGATTCTTCTTTAGTTTGATGCGGAATAGTTGCCATTTGGTCCCATAAAAAATTAACATAGTTAGGCCCAGTAGTTTTCATTTTATGAACATTTTTAATGAATATTATTGTTTACTTGGATGATATAATTTTAGTTTGGTACGGCCTTTTTAGGAGTTTTCATTTAAGTTGATTATATATTATTTTATAAATATTTTTTTGTAATATATAATATATCTTACACATAATAATATTTTGGTAGTGTGTAACGTTTGAGTAGTGTAGGTTTTATTTTATTTCTCACACGTTTTTTTCTGAATTTCTCAACATACCTGTAATTTGTAGTAGGTATTAATTGTATATCTACTTACTTTAATTGGTAAAGGTATGTGAAGTAGTTAATCTTCTTTTCTCCGTAGGTAAGCGAGTAACATAGGCGATAACCGACAAACACGTGGTATGAGCCGGCGGCAAAAACTAGTTCAAAATAAAATCATGTTTCATTTATAAGGAATCTATCCTATTATAATTTTAGAAAAAAGCGCAGTGCATTCTAACCAGAAAATATTATTTAGACTACAGTTTTCACTAGAATTTATTTAAAAAAAAAACTTCCGAACTTCAGCAATATACCATACATTACTCAGCTGCGTTTGTTTCAATCTATCTGCTATCAACTTGTCTTGAAAGGTCATTTTGCAAAGATTAAAATAACCTTCGTCTTGAGTATCACATCACGTACTTAAGACGATGTGAAGGTGTATTTAATAATTCAATTAAGACTAACATCCCTTTAATACCCTTAAACTGGTAGGGTCTTGTCAGGAAATCTCTAGCGACAAAATATAAGCAAAGCCTCATAAATATGTGACAAATAAATATCTTTCTTTGTATATGCCAAATGGCAAATAGCTTAGATGTTTCTAATTAGTCTATACTAATATAATAAAGAGGTAAAGTTTGTGAGTTTGTATGTACGGGGTAATCTCCGGTATTACGAGTACTGCTCCGAATTTGAAAATTATTTCATTATTAAAAAGGTATATAATCCTAAATGCTATAGACTATTTTCTCCCCGATAACTGATATAACCGCGGGCGGAATCTCGGGCAAATGCTAGTATAGTATGAAAGTATCAGTAGTAGTATTTATGTCAGTTTATATGTATTCAGGTACATACCTACAGGTACGTATGTTTATGTACGTATGTATAATGTGTATAGTTTCTAGTGTACGATAGGTTTATGTATGTATGCGTATTCGATATTATTACTACAAACAAACTTAAACCAAAATGCACCTACTTCCTGTTTTCTTTGCATCACGCAACGGTTGACTGGTAGAGAATGCCTTAGGCACTAAGTCCGCCAATGCACCAAAACTGCATGATGTGAAAATAATATTAAATAATAAAAGTCACAAGTCCGAATACGTATCCCTCCGAGAGTCAGAGCGGGGTTTGGGTTTCGATAACCTCTCTCACTCGTTGAAAAGCGACGAAGGAACACAGGTCCAAGTGTGAGTTTAATTCACATCGACTCGCCCTCGACGGTGAGCGAATATGTCGAATTTCAGCCTTATCGTAGTAGAGTTAAAACCGACTACTACTTAGTTTGGGTAAATTCTTTGGAGGTTGAATCTAAATAATTTTAGTGTACTCACAATTTAAATCGTTCCTATGTACTCGTATATGTTTGGAGTTTGAAAGAATGAAAGTACTTTCAAGGTTTGTTTAGTAATGAAAATGTATCATGCTACGGTGAATATTTATGTGTGTATCCTTGAAAAGGGTCCTTTGCACTCCTTAGAGACGGAAAGGGTCAACAGAACTGAAGTGACACCTACACTTAGTACTTCAATTTAATATTTCAACATTTACAGTTTTAAATGAGAATAATAATAATTTCTCGCAAGTCAAGTTATAAATTTGTTGGAACATTACGTAGGCAAATAAACTTTAGGTACTGAAGTTGTGAATAACATTGTTATAATTGTTAAAGCGGCGGTAGCCTAGTGGTTAAGACATTGGACTTGCGAGCAAGAGTTCGTGGGTTCGAATCCTGACCAGTACACTACCGACGTGAACCCACTCCTAACACAAGCAATGTTGCTTAGCTGGAGGGGTTAACGGGAATACTAGTAATTTCGGTTACTAGTAAGCCTTTAAATAAAAAAGAAAAGAAAAAAAAAACTATGAAACGTAGCCAGAAGAATTATCGGTTTTTTGACACATAGGTACATACCGACTATCCTAGAATTAGTTAGCACATTAGTTAAGCACATACCTATGTGTATGTATTAAAGTTGTTATGGACATTATCATAAGCATAAGACATAGGCAAAACGGCGTTTACGGTGGTGGAAGGTGTTTACGGATCGGTGGGATTCCCCCCTGTTGCGCCACTGTGCAAAGATCCACACCAGTCACCATAATAATTGATTGTGTTTACTAACTTAAGTACTTAAATTTCTTTGTTTGTACTAACCCTATGGACTATGTCTGAAATAAACTATTTGAATTTTGAATTTGAATTTGAAAAGATCAGTCAGTTCATGGACGCACTAAAAAGTCGAACATAAAAAAGTAGCCATCCGTCATTAATTATTAAATGAAATGGTTTTGAAATTTTTTAATTATCCTCCCGGGTACATTAACATCATCATCAATAGCCTTTAATAGTTCATTACTGGACATAGGCCTCTAGGATCTAGGATTCTAGGCCTCTAGGATTTGTGTCAAGTTTTACTTCTCCTTCCAGTGAATTGACGCTCTTTGAGTCACCCCCCCCCGCACCCCCAGAAATAGGGAGAGAACACCAGTTTCCGGCGAGGCTATGGTATCAATCCAGTCGAGCCGGCCCACTCCGTCCAACTCTCCCACGCTGGACTTAATAAAATCCTACTAGTAATTAAGTATATTATTAAAAGTAACTTTACAAAGCTATTCCCTGAAGTTATCACCACATATTTCATTTACTTAACTATATGACGCTGTAAACTTTATTCATATGACATTGTTAGCTAATTTGATTGTCGAAATATTAACTACGAATATACCAGCGTGGTAAGTCATATAATTTAACATGTTTATTGTACGAATAATAACTTATTAATAACAAAAGACGTTTATAGCTTGGAACAAATACGGTAACTTTCAAATTTTACTTGTGTTTAAGCCTAGATTTTGATGTTGGCGCTTTTCGAGATGTAGTTGATACATTATGAAGATGGATTATTATAATAATGTATAATATTTTGAGTATGAGCTCATACTCATCCCCACCTCTTGGGTAATTAGCATTTCATCATAGTGCAGTTTCCAAAGAGATTTATGCCTCGCACAAGTTGGAAGACATATTATTGGCCTGCTGTATTACCGAGATATAAAAGAGCGTACTTAAAGGCCGGCTCTCCCACGGATAGAGTATTGAAATGACATCACAAACCAACCTACGCTTGTTTATTGGCTTCCTTAATTTCAAGCAACCATACATTTTTTGCTCCGGGAAATTGACATAAAATTTTCTTTGACTAAACAAAAATATTAAACCCTGAAATGGGTCCATAGATGTGGTCGCTTTTAATTCAAAACTTGGTTCTAATATATTGTGGTAAATAGAGATTTGCCAGACAAATGTGTAGAACTTGTTATCGGGCAATCGGAAAAAATACAGAAACGACTTGGATTTATTTGTTAATCTGTCTAAAACATTTAAAACGCACCAGAATTCTAGAGCACAATTAAAATATTTATAAAAGAAAATAATTATCTACTGACCATTTTCTTCTGAACTAGATTTTCCGGGCTGCTTCATTGGCGTTAAAATTATATTATCCATTAGTGAGGAAAAGGTATTTTTTTTCAAAAAAATAAATGTTTGTAAGGAAACTTACGAATATTATTTCCAGCGAACCTGACTATTAAGCGAAAGGTCTTGAGTTCGATTGCCACCAGCACCAATATTGTGTGATGATCACGATCATTTATTTTGTGTCTGGATGAGGTTTATCTATACTAAGTATGTATTTAAAAAAATATAAATGTATGTTTCTCAGCAGTGTAGTTACTATAGTATGGGCTCAGCCTAGTGTCGGATTAGACAGCTGTGTGTTAGATGTGGCCGGTCATTATTATTAAAAATAAATAATCTCGAACTGGCCTTCATAGTTACATTAATTAAAGGTTGACTACTGATCGGTATGGCCGCACTGTTCGCATTATTTTCTGTAAGACAAATAAAATCTCACTCACGAAATAAACTTGACACATTTAAAAACTTTTACAACAGAAACTAAGATAGAATCACTTGGCAATGGGCCCTATAGTTTGATTGAGATGTATAGCGGTAATGGCTTTAGATGAAACAGCTATTTATCAGCCAATTTGCTTCACACGAGTATTTCTGTTTTATTTTGTCTACGTTTTTAGGTATTTTTAGTATCAAGGGTAAGATGTGACTGTGCAATTTTATCTGCGAAGTTAAAGAAGTCTGTCAAGGTGAAATTTGGGATGGGTGACCATTTATCAGTAAGATGATTTTAACCGTCATGTGAGAGGAAATTGATGTATGCCTTAAAATCTAGTAGTGTCCGACCGAATGTTCGGTTTCGGTTTCGGTTTCGGTCGAGTTTCGGCAAAAAAACGAGTTTCGGTTATGTTTCGGTTTCGGCAGCAAACCTGCCGAAACTACGACCAAAACCGAAACTGCATTCGAGAGTTTCCGCGCTGTGCTCGGGTGTGTTCGGCGCGGTAAATGACATCCAAGCGACGATGACATTTGACCGCTTCCACATGCGTAATCATGTCGTAACCGGCTTGTTTGCAGTGCATTTTGTTTGTTGTGAGTTTATCATTCTGGAGAACCACAGCCATCTTGTTCATCTTGAATAGTGTCTTCGGAAAAAGCAGAATTGCTTTGGGACGCCCATGATAAATCTACTTGTAACTTTATAGAAACTTCTGGTGTGGAGAGCAGTGATTGTTTAACTCAAATTAAGCAAACTATTCAGGCATACTTGTCAGAGCCTAGATTACAGAGAAGTGCAGATATTTATTCTTACTGGGATTCTAGTCCATATCTGTCTTTGAGAAAGGTGGCACTGAAATACTTATCAGCTCCACCAACGAGTGTTTTAAGTGAACAATTATTTATTGCTGCTGGACAAATTTATTCAGACAGAAGGAGCAATCCGCGAGGCGAAAATGTTGATAAACTATTGTTTCTTACCTATAATATAAGATTGTTTAACTATGAATATTAATAAGAAGTAACATTTAAGTACAGATACCTACTGTATACTGAACTGACCGATTATAATACATTTTCTTTATTTTTTTCTGAAAACATGATCCTTATAAAAAAGTTTCGGTTTCGGTTTCGGTTTCGGCCGAAACTGAGACCGTTGCCGAAATTCGGTTTCGGTTTCGGTTTCGGTCGTAAAAACCAGTTTCGGTCGGACACTAAAATCTAGAGAGAAAAAATAAATCTGTTACATCGGACAATTAGGAGAGAGAGAGAGACACAGAGAGCTCTATAATTTTTCTCATTCCGTAACTTGGATATTTCTATAGTCTTTGTTATTTAAAAACTCTACAGGTTGAAAAATTTCAATGAATATATAGTCCACGTAATAAAATGTTAAACACATGTAACAGTTTCAATTTGTTATAAAAGTGGCTATTAAAATTTAAAAAATCTTAGTTATTAGTAGGTACAACTTTCAGAGATCAATCATTTATCATCAGACCTTCATTATCAACCGTCAGACTCGTCAAAACGAATCATATAAGCTCAAACTAGCCAGTCACCAGCCACAGTAGAATTCGAGTATTGAACTTCAAATCATCAGATTCTGGCTTCATCATTGGATCCACATAATTGGTATTATAATACAAACTATATGTACATGCAAAGTTTTATTTCGATACGACAATAAGAAGTAGGTTAAAATTGAATCCAAATATTTCTTTACATTTACGCTTTTATAAACTTTATTTGTAACAAATGAAGTTTGTGAAAGCGTTAAAAAGCTTATAATATATTATATTATAAATATATGACCATATTGCATCATTGTTAAAGTTTAAATTTTCTCTAGAGTACTGCAAACTTTAACAATGTAGGGACCGGAGCCCTTTAAAGCGGCAGTGTTGTGAACTTAATTTTATCAAGTTCAACTAGGTCCGTACTAGGTCTATGCGGTGTGGCGGGCTTCCGATGAGGCAAACAAAGTTTAGAATGTTTAAGTACTAACATCCGTTGATAGGCAGCAAAATAACCGCTTCTAAATTACTACCAAGAATGGCAGTATAATAACAGTAGTAACTTTAATTTACTTCTAAAAGGAGGTTCTCTATTCGACTGTTTGTTTTTGGGTATGTTACGCGATATAATCAATGTGTTGACAATGGTATTTATCCTGATCTTATGACGTCTAGTCAATCATTCCCTTATTCAAATCGTACATTTGACCCAACTAACTTTAGACCTATCTCAGTACTACTAGTATTTTGCAAAAAGTAATTTATGATTAATTACAAAGTTTTGTTGATAATAATAATTTATATTACAGAATAGAAAATTACAAGGTTACAAGGGATTGCTCCACAGCAGATGCTAGTGTCGAGCTAGTAAAACGTAATTGGTTTTACGTTAACAATTTGCTCTTAAATTAACTAAAATGTAAATTTTCACGGTTCACTACGCCAAACGTCAAGCCAGTGAAAACTACTGTGATGATTAAGGTTGTCGAGTTATAGACCTTGTAGATACTAGCTACAGTAGGGCCCACATATTAAAAACTTGTCGAGTAGGCTAAGCTCAGCAACATACGCAGTAAGAAAAAATAGTTAGTTGACTGATATTAATACAGCACGATTGTTTACTTCGGTTATTTTCATAGCATAATGTCGTGCGGTATTCTACTGTCTCTTATAGTGCTGCCGAAATTTTTAGTTTAGACAATCATTGTTCATTGCGGCAAAAATTTAAAGAAATAAACATAATGACAGTAGTATGTCAATATATATGAAAATTTAATATATGTTTATTGTAACAAATTATTATAAAAACAAAGATAGCTTTCGAAAAGAAGTGACGTACATTCTATAAATACCAGTCATAGAAATAAACTTGTAGGACCTGCCTCTCCAAAAGATAAACAATTCGTTTCGAGGTTAATGTGTCTGGTTTTATAATAAAATCCCAAATAATATACAAGATTTCAGTACAACTAAATTTAAATTCGCAATAAAACGCAAATTACGTCAGAAAGTCTATTACTTAATTGTCGATTACACAGAAGACAATAATGCTTGGGATTAATTTAGCACAGGCTATTCCTTAAGTGGAAATCTAGTGTGTTTTTGTATTATTTTTTCATTTTTTTATGATTTCTTGAATTTCATTTCTATTCCATCTCTTTTCTCTTATCTTGTTTTCTCTTCATTGCCTTACATACTGACCCACACTATGGAACCATCAGAGTTGTGGTAGTTATATCTAACGAAGCCATTATATATGTTAATTAAAAGGAGTGGCCGCGAGTTTGTTTTGCCCTTTCTTCTCATAAGGCTCAACCCCTTGGAAACAGGCGGTTATGGCACAGGCTTATAATAGATTTTTGATAACTAACTAACTAACTAACTTTGGAGTCTACATAAAAGACGCTTAAAAAAAGGGTTTTTTTTATGAAATAAAGATAGTTTGAGTTTATTAGTGACCCTGACTGCTAAGCCAGGGGTCTTGGGTTCGATTCCCACCCAGAACAAATAATTATGTGATGAACATGATCATTTGTTCTGTCTGGGTGTAATTTATCTATGAATATGTATGTATCTATCTATGTATTTAAAAGTATATAAGTATATTTACTCGTATCAGCAATCTGGTAACCATAGCGCAGGCTCTGCCTAATTTGGGATCAGTCTGCTGAGTGTGAGATGTGTGAAGTTATATTTATATATTTTCTCTTCTCTTTCGAAAAGTGCATTACAATGTGCTTTGCAGGCAAATTAAATAAGTTTTGACCAATGCAGATATTGCTTGCATGTCAAATCATGTTTTGCCAATAATATGTCGTCTAGTGATAGTTGTTTACTTTGTCAACAGATAGTAACGCCAAATTACGTCGCGACGGAGTGCTCAACCTCTATCCATTCCCGCGAGTGGGACGCGCTTCAAGAAACACCTGGCAACTTCCCCTAAATGATTTGTACTTAGGTAATTACTGTTAACATTTTGCCTGTGCCTCCTTACTATTTAGTGTTATCTAGAGCTATCTAGGGTTAAGACACAAAAATGCGAAACTTGCATTGCGACGCCAGAATGCCTATTTAAAGTTTCGATGAGAATAACCTTATATAAAGCGCTACAGCGCCGCATTGTTAATTGAGTTGCAAGATTCCATATTTTTTATGTTTAGACAGTAGTCTTGATCTAAATCTCGAGTGTTCAAGAAATTTCGAAATATTGGGCATAAACTGTCGTTTATCTTCTTTTATATACATAATTCCTAAACTGTACTGCAATAACTAAACTGAAGAAAATAAATACTACAGTTGGAAGTACAAAAATATACAAGGATTAATAGTAATGTCCGAACTACTTTGTAAAGCAACATAGATTACAATCACATTCATGCCTCGTCGGTATGGAACACAGATTACCTTCTAAATTAGGGGGTAATCTGTGCTATGGAACCACCGACGTGAGTCTTCGATCTTGCAACATTGTTTAAGCGGTCACTTCGACGCTTCGTACTTTGTGAGTGCTGTGAGTTCAATCCCCACACGGGACCACAATTTGATTCACAATTTGTTGTTCTGCGGGTCTAGTGTGAGTTTATTTTACATCTACTCTATCGTCACGGTGACTGCGTTTGGCGCAACGCCGAACGCGCTGGCTATCGACAGCGAGTTAGAAACTCATTCTAGGCCCTTTAAATCTGGATGTTCTTTGTGTCCGTTTGAATGAATGTATGTAAAGTCCCCCGCGACACTGATTTTTTCCTAGGACGGGAGATATCGTTTTCAAAAAAAATGATTTTTTCTTTAGAATACGAGCCAGCAGAAAAGCGTCAACTGTATGCGTTCCCTCGCGTCGGTCGTAGCGACTTGGGTCTAGTCCGCGGAGAATCTCCACATGATTTTGCGCCAATGCCAGTCCGTCGTACCGAGAACCCTGGCATGTGGTTCGGACCCCGACTGGGCAGGTCCTTCAAGAGTGATGACGATGGTTAGCGGTTTATATTTGTTAACTGTTCTATAAATATACTTTAAGTTGGGAAGACACTGGGGCCATTACGGATTATTGCATAATTCGCTTTCAAGTGGACATGGTAACCATAATCAGAACTAAAGTAGCTTATAATGCCAGCCATTGTGATAAATTTGGTGTGTTGAATTCTCAATAATCTGTCGCTTCTTTTTGTACACTGTTGCAGTTTTTTGACGTGAATGCTACCACAATTGCTTTAAAGTGAAAATAATAATTTCTCAGATATCACTCTCCAGAATGAGACGAGTGAACACAGCGACCCTGAGCAGACTGATCCCGTGCACGTTGAACGAAAGAAGAGGCAATCCAACTAAAGTTATAGTTCCATCTGTACAACTACGTGTAGCCTACACGACTCATCAACACAAAGAATAGGCACCCAAGGCCCAAGCCCCAAAATAGATTGTGTACTTTGACAGCTATTGATTGACCCTGGTAAATTGAGTTCATATTTATATAGGTGATTCTTAAGCTCGACTTTTAGGACTCATTCAATATTGCATTTGAAAATTGTTAGTTTTTTAGAAAATAATTTCAATAAGTCAACAGCGTGCTGGCTCTGTTTCATAGATTAAGCGCCCCTTGACGTGTAGACACTACATACTCTTAATAGGTTTAATGAATCAATTACTAATTAGATGTTTATATGTAAATGGAACGACACCGTCAACATTAATATAAGTAGGTACTTATAAGTATAAGAAAATAATTGAAAATGTTTATTGAAAATAAATATTTATTGCCAATCCTATTTCTATGGCTGGGCGGATTTCATTATTCCGTCATACATTACATAAATCCGTGAAATATTATTGGCGATATATTATTAATTGTTTCTATATGTAATGTTCTAATTTATTGAATTAAATATCATTCTAATATGTTATGTTTAATTTTTCCTTTCAAACTTATTAAAACAGTGGTAAAAATTATCACCATCAGTATTTTTTAGTATATATGGACTGTACGGATATCGTAGTGGTTTAAGCGGTCACCTCACCGCTTCATACTGCGCTGAGTGTTGTGCGTTCGATCCCCTCATGGAACAACACTGTGTGTGATCCACAAATTGTTGTTCGGATTCTGGGTGTTCTTTGTGTCCGTTTCATGTATGTTTTTAAAGTCCCCCGCGACACAGGATATATTCCTAATGCAGGAGTTGTCTTTTAAAACAAGTAGAATATATACATAGTAATTTGCAATGTTCTACTGTATCATTTACTTAATGAAATGGTCCTGAATATTTTAAAACCTCTTAAATAACTGATCCATGATTCTGTACCTCCTTACGAGCTGTCATCTCCTGGGCAGTGACTATTATAAAATACCATTAATAAGTTCGTTTGCCATAAAATAAAGAGTTACATACAGCACATCTGCAATTTTCTTCTTTAGCTAACGTCAGCGTAGGTTTATTTGCTTACTCAATTGTCAGAGACGAAGGTAGCGGTATTTTACTGTTATTCATATCGTTTTCTTTAATATTGTATCATTTAAATCAATGAGATAGTAGAGGATTATCTTCCCTCGGGCACTTGGCGCTAATTGAAAAATATACGTAGCATTTTATTTTACACCGGCCAAGGACTAGGTATAATGTAAAAGATATAAATAGTAATTTATCGAAATAGTCATTGTAATTCTTAGGGCAATATTAAAGATTGGTGACCTTAAGAACTCAACTATCTAAAAGAACAGCTGCACGCCCACACAACCAACTCAAAATCTTTATGAAAATTATAGGAAAAATACAATTGTCCGTGATATATTACATTGATATATTATTATTGTCACCTTCCCTCAATTTTGTTTAAATAGTCATACTTACTATCAAGACAATTATCTTTAATGCACCTAGGGTGTTTTAATTCTTTTTTATATAATAGTGTTCCATGTATACACAAACGATTTCGGGGGAGTTGTCTTTAAAAAAGGTTGATGCTAAAGAATATTTTGAAATCCAAAAATAATAATTTAAAGAGAGCTCCCGAACAGTAGAAAACGTATGTATATCCTGTGTCGCGGGGGACATTACAAACATACATATAACGGACACAAAGAACATCCAGACTCAGAACAACATTTTGAGGATCACACAAAGTGTTGTCCGATGTGGGTATCGGACCCACAAAACTCAGAGGAGCAGAAAGCGGCGGTGACTGTTTCCTAGTGGTTACTACGCCATCCGTGCAGTCAAACCTTTTAATCATTTTTTTACTTGTAAAAAATGAACTTTTTAAACTTTTGATAAAGAATTGTAACCTTCGAGGTATCTTGTTGTATTAGTAGTTCTATTACAGACCTATTTGCAATCGCCATCGTGATCATCCATCAAAATGCCGTAGATACAACTATGCCACTTATAATATCATGGCAGGTTTTGAGCCAATCTGTCTACCTATTTTGATAAAGGGTAGCCGGCATGTGATAGATGAGCACAGACGTAACAAATAACTAGATACACTCAGAAGACCAATTCTCGGAATAAAAGTTTCAGTTTCTCAATCTATTTTTGATCAACTTTCGATCATCTCTACATCAGCTGTCTAAAAACAAAATCATTCTTAAAAGTTAAACATTTTTGATTCGAGTAGGTAATAAGAATCAAAATCAATAGTTATATTTCTCAAAATTTGTTGTGAAAAGATAATCTATTTTTTTAACAACGCTGGATTAAATTTGTTTAATTGACTGCACAGATGGCTTAATGCTTTAAGCGGTTGCCATGCCGCTTCCTGCTGCGCTGAGTGTTAGTGTTCGATCCCCACAAGGAACAACACTTTATGTAATCCACAAATTGTTGTTCTAAGGTTCTGGGTGTTCGTTGTGTCCGTTTCATGTATGTTTATAATATCTCCTGCGACACAGGATATATTCCTAATGCGTGAGTTGTCTTAAAAAACAAAAAATAACTTAATTATTCTATTTGTGGTTACAATGACATTTAACTTTATGCCGAGGAACTTTGTTAGTATTGGTAGAGGAATCAGTCTCCACGTTTGGACTCACAGATGATCTGCTATGCGGTGTCCCAAAGGGATTCCTGGATAAAAAGAAATGGGATGTAGGACAAACGAGCAGATGGGTCACCAGACGGTAAGTGACTGCCTGAGAGACAGAAATGCGTTGCCATTATTTGACACCTTACCATCATCATCTTGACATCGTGTGGGGGGGGGGGGGTTCACACCCCACTGTCAAGAATAAGGGAGAGGGGATAATAAACTGACAAAATCAGATCATCTGATCAGATATCCAATTGTCGGTTATAACTAAGCCATCAACAGGAACAAACTCATATGAATATTACAGCAGTTTTAAAGTACAGTAATTGCTCACCCCGACACGTGAATAAATTAAGGCCTACCTTACATATCAAAATCTATACAGCCTGTTACGAGTGGTATATTTGAGGCGGGGCGAATCGGCCGGGAAATGTTAAAAACGAATTGCTTTATGAATGGAATCAAATTTTCACCATACGTACATACGAAATGTACAACACTCGGTATATCATCGTATTGTCGACATCTAAAGTTTTTAAGTTTTTACCGTCAGCCAAGAATCCTAAACAAAAAAAAAAAAAT